ATGATGATATATGACAAAGGAAAAAGTATACTCCTTCAATAATTCGAGCACAGAATAAAGATCTGCTGTAGCGCAGTAAAGTAAAACTTAAAGAGATCTCGGTGTACACTTGTCCCTGTTTCATCTCTACTGACGCCAAACCGCAGATAACGATCAGCATCGACTAAAATACAATCATTTTCGTGGTCAAGTGCCAGGAACGACAGGTACGGAATGCACAGCATTTTCTGCGCAGACACGCGAAATTAAAATGGGAGGAAACAGCGATCGGTTTTCTAAAATCTCATTTCCAGCTGGGTCGCGACGTACCGTTAATTTTTGCAGTTGCAGTGGCTTCAGCGTTTGCCAGGCGCATACATATCACGCCTACCCCCCCCCCCCTCAACCCGTAACATGGCTCTCTCTCTCTCTCTCTTCGTTAGCAGAGTGCAAGAGACAGTCAGGTCCGAAGTTTGTGGGATTTTATCTGTGTCATTAGGACAGACGACAATAATGAAATTTTCTGGGCATTATCAGTTTCCGAGTAGGACGACGGTCCTAATTTTAATTAATGGAGTAATAAAGTTTAATTCATGTTACGGAGAAATGCTGGAAAATAAAATTATCCAGAGGTGTCCGTAAACTCTCCGTAAAATTACGGACAAATTAATTTTCAAAAACGGGCTTTCCGAAATATAAAAGAAAAACTCTGTATGTTCACGGGACCGCTCCGTTAATTTCCTAGTTAGTTTTATGTTCTTCCACTTAAAATAAAAAGTGATCTTTGACGAAGTCTTTAATTTTTGTTATATGGGTGTTCTTCTGTGTATAAAATATATATATATATTTTTTTTTTAAGTAAAAATATTTTATACTCTAGCAATATTCGAACCCGAGCCACAAATTTACAAGTCCAAGAGTCTAACAACTCACCTATACAACTTCTTACATGATGTCTGTGGTATAACTTTTGTATTTCTAATACAGTCACATAGGCAACTTTTCCAGTTTCTATTAACCCGTTGCGAAGTATGCACGTATATAAACGAGGTTACGTTAATGTGGAAACTTCTTTGATCTTAAGGAAAAAATTAACACTTTTATATTTTTTCTTGTTTCGCTGGACTTCATTGGAATCTAACTAAAATGTTGTAACCTTTTAACACTCGAGTTAGCAAAAACTAAATGTTGGTTTCCGATCATTTATCAAATGAACACGATGGACTGCAAAATTTGTTACCTCTTTAGAGACCCATTAATTGGTGCGCAATCAAATCACTACTTCATTGGCAGACGGCTAGCCAATAATAAACGTTGCGGAGTACAGTAAGTGCAGCCAGGAACAATAGGACTTTGGTAAGTGTAAATACGGAGATCAACATAACTGATATTGCTGTACTGGAGAATATAGGTAGCTCACTTCAACCTTGTCTTCAGTGGCAGAAAACTTATGTCCTACATCTGACCTAAAAAAAAATTCATAAAATTTCAAACATTTTTATAAATAATTCATTTTAAAAATGATTAAAACCTTGACCTTTGACCGTGACCCCGGTGACCTTAAACCTCGAAAACCCAATAAAAATCCCTAATCAGAATGTAAAAAAATATATTACAAATTATTAAATGTTATTTAAAAATTTAGCTCCCTGGCGGCCATTTTTCCGAAAAAAATTTCTCCTTTTATCCCTCAAAATCTACTAGAATCCCCTCAGATTTCCTACCTGGTGACCTTTGACTTTTGCAAATTTTAAGGTCTAAGGTCACCGACATTCAATATGGCGGACAAGATGGCCACCAGCTAACCGGAATGACAGAAAATGAACTGTTCCGAGCTCCGCCAACCTACTTCCTTGTCCCAAGCTTCCTTTCCTCTATTATTAATATATAAACCCAAATAAATCATTTCAGCATTCATAGATGTTCATGTAACAATTTTAATTCCACTTTGCGCCATGGAAATATTTTTCCTTTTGTCGTTACCAACTTTACTGGGCGCATCTCACTCAGTGTGGCCGTTAGCATATATGCAGGTAAGGGTGGTGACATTTCAAATGTGCTCATTAAACCCTGAACATCCAAAGGCGGTAGATATTTTTATTGTTTATTCGCGATTTCCTCACATTTTTTTAAAATAAAACCTGTGGAAAAATCACCCCATCTATGACGTGTTTGGTTCTTTCCTAAATATGTCACGTTTTAATAGCGTTTTATAGTCCACTAGCTGCTACCCGCGGTTTCACGAGCGTGATAAAATCAAACCTTAATTATAATGACTATTTTTATCTTAAGAAACTGTTTGTTTTACCGGGATACAAAGTACCCTATGTGCTAATCCAGAATATTATCTACTCCTGTCCCAAATTTCATCCAAATCCGCCGAGCCGTTAGGACGTGATTGAATAACAAACATACAAACTTTCGCATTTAAAATATTACTAGTATTCACTGTTACTGCCAAATTTTCCGAATCCCTGCTGAAGTTCTACTTACAGTATAATCGTTCGTTTCACGCAAACAAAACTTAACACTTTGTAGACTACACTCGAGTGTAGCTCGAGCAAAGCTAATTTGAAAATTTATTTCCTATTCAAAACAAAACTCGCATAAATGTGCAGTCTTTGTTATTGCTAACGGTAGAATTTCTTTCTTTACAGCCACTCGAAGGGACATGATTGATTGTAAATCCTTTTATACGATAAAGGACATTTTATTGGGTCAATATCAGCTCTCCATTGGTTGATAACCAGCCAATATTGAACTCTGTAAAGTACGTGGTAGTATTCGGTGTCGTATGGACCAATAGGACGATGGCGAGTTCTAACACAGACGCCAACAGAACCGGTGTTCTTGCAGTAGTATATATAGGTGACTCACTTCTAATTTGTCTTAAGTGCCAGTAAATGTGTGCAGACCTCAATATGTTAACAGTCTTAGAAAATTATACCAAAGGGCCCAAGCACCTTATTTTAGCGCCCTCAGTGTAATAATATTTTGTATTAGAACCATTTCTTACTAGATACTACCAACAAAACTATTTTCTCCATGTTATTATTCATAATAATTATAAATGTAAATATTGTAATATATATAATATAAGGAAAGGACCAATTTAATAAAAAATAATGCATTTTTGTGTTAACGCAAATACAAAAGGTTTGTGACACGAGCCCTATTTAGGAATCAACCAAACACGTCATACATGAGGTGATTTTTCAAGGATTTAATTCGAAAAGGGTAAAGAAAAAGCGAATAGGCCATGTATATATTATATGAGTTACCATAATGGTAACTTATTTTTAATTAAACTGAAGATTTACTTTATTAAATCTATAAATTGTAACATTTAATGTGTGATTAATGTAAATTAATACAGAGAGAATATACGTGTGTTGGTAGTTCCTAGCAATAAATAGTTCTTACGCGAAATAATATTACATTGATTGCACACGAATCCGATGCGTCGTCCCTTTGGTGTAATATTCTGTACTTGGGGCTAAGCTTTGCTTGCACGAGGCGGAGGAATATTCTGAAAGTATAACTTTAGCGAGACTCTGGAAAAATTTGAAGTAACCGTGAATGAACTTTTCTAAAGGCTGTTCACGATGAAGTGAGCACTTTAGAAATGAACCTTAGAAAAAAAAGTAACTGTCCCTGCATGCATGTAATATAACGGGCGTACTGAGTGACATTCGCCCAGTAAAGTTGGTAAACGATGGCTGGAAAGTAGTTACATATCTTAATGTTGTGATGACTCAAAAATTTTTCTTTCCCTTTCTGTTTTTTTTATGCATCGAAGTGTAATAATGAGCAGATTTGTAATAGTTTTGTAATAACTTCAAAATTTCACTTGACCGACGCTTGAATGAAGTGATGAAGCCCATGACAATGTTAATTTTACATAAGGTGGAGAAATACACGACGTGTATACAAGTAGATCTTAAGCAGGACTTTCAAAATGCTCATTTTACCGTGAATAGCCTAAACGAATTTTATCTGCAGTGAAGTAAAACACAGTTCTGAAATGATTAATGACGTCGCTTCAGAGAATTAGTCCTGGGGTAGGGCAGTGTTTTCGTAGCCGTAAAAATAGAAGGGGCGGGGGGGTTTAGAGATTTTGAAGATGATCCAAGACCCGGCGCGGTAAGAAAGAAAAAAAAAAGGGGTATTTAAAAAAAGGAACATTTAACTGCCGCCGCGTTTAACGATGAAGCCGGGCCTTCTCCTTGATCCTACGTTAAGCAGGCGGTCGTAAAACTGCCCACGCGAAGCCAAATTAAATCTGCGTTAGCCGTTAGACGTGGACGGCGAATGAGCAAGGATGCCGTCCCTGCACATCTAAGTTGCAGCCAAGCAGCGTATACACTGTAAAAAAAAGATTTCGACGTAAAATTCCTTCGCATCTAAGGGAAGCTAATTATAGGCAGTTCACGGTAAAGTGAGCACTTTTGAAGCCCTGGTTACTTTTCCCTTTCAACAAATTTATATCCCTCCACCTTTTTGTAAATGTGAACCCTACCGTGCGAGTAATAAACATAGTGTATACATTCGCCATACCCAAAATCAAAAGTCGAAGGCCACAATGAAATGTGCGGTGAAACAGCTCCAAAAAATGCTTACTTTACCGTGAACGGCCTATACCTCTACATGTACCGTAAAACTACCACCTTAATATAGAGTAGAATTACGTGACAGGTAACGTACTTATCCCTAATCGTACGGGAAAAAAACTACCCGACAAAAGTGGGGGAGTAATCCCTTACTAGTAAGGAAAAATTAACTATATTCTAAAATAAGAAATATCCCGGGGTATTTGTACTGGTATTTTTTTTTTCCATTACCTGACGAATAGTAACAGAAACCTCAATATTAATATCCTCGACACTTGCTGGTGGATGGGCGCGAACCTTGGACCTCTATCGCGAAAGGCCGATGCGTGCTGTCCATTACACCACGGGTATTACGTACTCTTTTTTTTTTTTCCATATAAATCATATACATAACTATTAAAATTGACTTGCCGACCCTGCCATGATTCGTACCTAGAATCTTCTTATCCGTAGTCAGACGCATTATCCGTTGCGCCACATGGCCAATGTACACCAAGACGACAACGTGATATAGTATCAGTGAATATGCGGGTGTTATTGTTCCTCCCGCCCGTCCTCCCACTTAGCTGCATAGAAAGCCGAAGAGATGTTCGCATTGTAAGGTAGTTTTCCCATCCATGTATGGGATTTTGCACTACCATGTACGTGAATTTTACTCCGGACAGCGGTAATTCTACCTTACCGGTAAGGAACACTATGTTCCCCCACACGTTTGCGAGTATTACTTTTACACTTGTCAGGTGATTTTCACATTATTTTTTTACAGTGTACAGTTGCAACACCAACGGTAAAAATTGATTTGAACAATAAAAAAAAAAACTTACAACAATAACCAGTTAAACACAACTTTTCCAATGTACTGGATCTGACCTAATCCAACAGAAACCCTATAGAGACGCAAAATTCGTCCGAAATTCCGCTGGAATATACGGAAATTATGACTCCTGGAAAAATCCCGAAATTACTGGAAACACCACATTAATCTCAAATTAATTCATTATATATTTATAGTGTTAATAAAAAATAATGTTGTGACCTAGACATATTCGATTTACAGAATATATGTTGTATGTGAAATTCATAGTTGCTACTCCCGTTTTATGTTCTTTGGTTGGTAGTGTATTTGCGATAAGGGCTACGTTTCATGGCGTAAAATAACGCCTCAGCCCAATGCATGGCAATAGTGTCATCTCTCTACTTAGATGCTCTCTAAAAGAATATATGCAAGAATAGTTTAGATGATGATTTCTAAAATAACTTAGTTTTCAAAAGCTTAACTAAAGTAGTTAATGCTGTCTTCGAACATGAAATCCTTCAGATCATTGAGTGTGATAGCAAAACATGTACTTTTAACTTAAGCACAGCAAGAACTGTCTTGCTTGCACACACCTCAAGTAATAAAATACAAATGGTATAAGAATAAGGTCTAAAATGAAATGTTTAAAAATAAAATAAAAAGTTTGAAATAAAATATGTTTAATAAGGTTGAAGTAAAAAGATAAAATTAACCGTGAGAAACATTTCATGTTGCTCTCCGAGGTACAAACGCCGGAATTTACCGATTGCAAATTAAAACTCGTTATTTCGGTTTTTCGTTTTAAGAGTCAATTTCGTTCACTAAGCGTCATTATTTACCCATTTTTACTACTTATGATTTCAGATTGAAAATAACTTCATAAATTGCATATGATTTTGGTGCAAGTGAGTTTGTAACATAACATTAGCGGTATTGACACTTGGTTTAAAAAAAAAATTAGAGGTCGGCCTGGAACGTAATTTCTTTTTAAGCTATCATCCTCAGCTATAATGTAAATTTTAAACCCATGTACAATATGGAAAATTTACCACATATCCGAGCGCAAATATAGACCTATTAGTGTTAAAAGTTGGGAACTCCACTAATTTCATTTCGCTCATTCCTTAATACTTTGCGCGCTGTAGACTGTTTCTTGGAATTGAAGACAAGGTCGAATTGAGTCACTTTTATAATAAATTACCTGAACGCGATTTCTCTTGTTTTCTGCTATCCCACATAACACAGTTAAGTTGATCACACAATATTTGACCGATTAACCGCAAACAGCGTATATTCAATCGACCGAGTTTTTGGTGTGCCGACGAGTGGGATGACATTCAACGCAGCGAAGAGAAAATACACAAGAAGGCTGTAACAGCGCCTTCCACAACCTTGCAGATTGTATGTTCAACCAAACACATAAATTATGTCTGTGGCATGTGGTCAGTTTATGTCCACTTCTCGCATTACACCGTGCTAAAATTGGCTTCATTTATTGTTATAATTATGATAACTTTTAGGAATGCGAAAATGCAACATCGGAATGTGCATGCCAGGTTTATTTGTAACTCGAATGTAGTCTTCTGAAAGTATATCTAACTTCACCGCTTATTTTCTCTACCAACGTTAGGAGACATCTCTGAATCACAGCGTGGTACAGCTAACATAACACTAAGCTGCAACGCCAAACCCAAGATCTGAACAGAACTTTCTGATAAAATTATCTAAAGGCTGTTCACGATAAAGTGAGCACTTTAGAAATCAACCTTAGAAAAAAGGTCACTACCCCTACCAGCGTATAGTTTAACGGGCGCAATGAGTGACATGTGTCCAGTTAAGTTGGTAACGATGGCGGGGAAAGTAGTTCCATATATTAACATCGAACAGAAAGAGTTAGGTGGCCATTCGTGATAACTTAAATTATTTCTCTCGCTTTCTGGATTTTCTAATGCATCGAAGTGTAACAATGAGCAGATTCGTACAATAATTATTTTTCTGATGATTTCACTGTTTCAATTGACCGACGCATGAATAAAGTGACGAGGCCCATGACAATGTTAATCTTACATAAGGCGGAAGAATACACAACGTGCATACAGGTAGAGATTAAGCAGGGCATTCGAAAGTTCTCAGATTACCGTGAACAGCCTATAGCCAGGGATAGGAAAATCTCGCGAATTCATTTGAGGACAAGATCGATAAACACGTGTACACTGGAGCCACATTTGTAATTGGATAACAATTTATTAGACACGCCCTGGACGACTCTGAGCCAATAGCAGACTTGCAAGGAAACAAGTAGTAAGTTCCATACTGGCAGGTATGGAGTAACATTGGCTATTCTCTGTGTCAGCAGCCAATGGACAAACATCTGAGGCCCGAGTACACACAGGACTGTGGAGTCTAGCCTACAGCTCATCGAACTAGCGAATTTTTCCTATCCCTACCTATAGCAAACTATATCTTCCATTTGTACACTATCTACCAAAAAGTAATTGGGCACCTGTCCACAATATTTGCTCGGTGGTTGTCACCCCGTTAGAATCTCGTAGGGCCACCTCTTGCGGCTATAACAGCAGCCACCCTGTCTGGCATGCTCTCTACGAGTGTTTGCAGGACATCCACGGGGATTCGTCGCCATTCCTCTTGCAACCATTCCATGAGTGGAGCAATGGATTTTGGCCGCGCCTGACGAGCCCTCACCCGGCGATCCAATTCGTTCCAAATATGTTCTATAGGGTTGAGGTCGGGGCTCTGGGCGGGCCAGTCCAATCGGCGAACATTGTTGTCGGCGTACCACTGCATAGTAGCCCTTGAAACATGGCGCCTGGCATTGTCATACTAGAAGTAACACGGGTCCATTCCGTAAAACGCCACAATGTTGGGAGCATTTCATTTTCCAGAATGTTACAATAGGCATATTGTGTTCATGCTACCACGGACAAACACCAGCGGTCCTACGCCGAAGGCCGTGAATCACAAGTCTACTGACGTACTCAATTACCTATCTTCAGGGGTGCCCAATTTCTTTTTGGTAACTAGTGTAGTTTCAAGTAATAATTTTAAATCTCTCATTGGTTCGAGTGAGTGAAGTGAGTCAAGAGATTTGGGTGGCTCCTAACAGAGAGGTCTTGAGAGCCGATGAGGGTGAAGTGAGGTAAGTGGGGAGCAGCGGCGGAATGAAAGGCCGGGGAAACTGGAGATCTCCGAGAAAACATGCCGACCAGCGGCATCGTCCGGCACGATTCCTACTTGCGAAAATCCACATTGGTTTCGAAGAAATTGGGTTTATTATTTAACACATTGAGGTCTGCATACATTTACTGGCACTTAAGTCAAATTTAAAGTGAGTCACCTACATCAACTACTGCAAGAACACCGGTTCTGTTGGTGTCTGTGTTAGAACTCACCATCGTCCTATTGGTGCATACCACACCGGACACTACCTTGTACTTTACAGCGTTCATTATTGGCCGGTCATCAACCAATGGAAAGCCGAGCTGATATTGCCCCAATCAAATATATTTTATCGTATAAAAGTATTTACAACCAATCATGCTCCTTGAGTGGCTGTAAAGAAAAGAAATTCCATCGTTAGATATATCATTTTTACTGCGCTGTGGTGTTCTTGTGAGGTCGTGTTAAATACCAACCGAATAAAGACTGCACATTCATGCGAGTTTTGTTCTGAACAATAAAGAAATTTGCAAATTAGCTTCAGGGACAAGTTTGAAGTGAGCTGCCTATATTCTACACTACAGCAATATCATTTTGGTTGGTTTCTGTATTTCCGCTTACTATTTTCGTACTGCTCTTGGGTACACCGGACACGCCTATGGAACTCTGCAACGTTTATTATTGGCTACCTGTTAACCAATGAAATCACTGGCTGAGTGCCAATTGATGTATCGCGATAGAAGTAACACGTTTTACAATCCATCGTGTGCGTTTGAAACATTATGAAAGAACACTTTTAATCTTAAAAACTGAAATGTTGACTAGTTGCCATTTTTTACTTAGAGTCCGATAAAGTATAACAAAATAGTAAAGATATAAAAATGTGAGCTTTGTCTTTAAGACCAAATAAAGTTCAATTTTAACTTAGCCGCTAGTATATACGTGCATATTCCTCGAAGGGTTAAAAATCATTTAACCAGAAAGTATTTTCTTCAAATTGTTAAATACTTAAAAACGTTAAAATATAATTCCAACATCTGACACGCATTAAAATTAACGGAACTTTTGTGTAGGAAATGTTGGCTACTGAAGAACATTGCAGCATGACCACAATAATAATGTCCAAAATAAGTTGTTTTAATTAGAGTTTCTTAAAACTAAAATACAATTTTAATTGGGGGGGAGGGGTTTAATTTGCGAACAATGTAATTTAGCCGCACAGCTCACAAAGTTCGTGTAATTAACTCGAACAGCTGGTACGTCTGACAGTAAACTCAGGATCCCTGTAATGAAATAAGGAAAAGGAATACAAAAGAGAACTTCCGTGGAGAGGATAAGTTGACTCGTGTTACTATTAAGCCTGGAAGAAAACAAGACCATTTACCATAAAAAAATTTTTTACCTCAAATCAAACTCAATTCATTCGGCAAACGTTTGTGCAGGCACCAACAAATTTGAAATAAGGCCTAAATAGCTTGATAGCAGGAACAAGTTTCAGATATTAAATGTGT